GGGAGGGAGGGAGGCTGCCCTGGTGGGTAACAGAAAAAAAAGAAAAGAAAAACTCAGAATGCACAATAAAAAAGAACTATGGTCCTATGAACACAAAGAACTTCAGATGTAGGACTAGGGTATAAGAATGAAAGCAATTCAGAATTGCACTACAACAAGGAGAACATTTAGAACCCCACAGTTGACACTGAGACCTTGTATGCCAGGGGCCCTGTGCAGCAAGTGTGACTCAGGATCCAGCTCAGAGACCCAGTGGTTACCTGTAGTACATTTGGTTCCAGGTCAACTATCAGGGAGAGTCAAGGATGCTCAGTCCCACCCAGCGGAGGAACAGAGTTGCCTAAATTCTTCCTTTCTTAATCTGGATTTCAGGGTGGGAATGATCCCGAGGGGAGAGGGCCAAGGGATGCAGCTACGGGGACGTTAGGAAAGCACAACACAGAGAAAGTTAAACAGAGACTAACGCATATCAGGTTTGGCTCTTGGAAATGATGCTTAAGACAGAATTTTTACAAGCTAGAGTCTATCCAAATGGGAACTAAGTAATGCTCTAGAAAAAAGTCATCTGATAAATAGCTCAAGAAAGGATGTTTGAACTTGAAAAGCAAAGCTTTTAGAAGTCACATGATAGCCATTTTCAAAGAAAAAATTGCAGCATACAGGCCCATCAGTAGATTTTCTTTTTCCTCTGAAACTCCAGAAGAAAGAACTGGGAGTAAATGATGCAAATTCCAGGGAGGCAGATTTTGTTTCCAATTAAGAAAGGACACACTAATTATCAGACTTGGATATAAGTGGGATGGGCAAAAACTGGTAAACTTTCAGCTCTTCAATATTTAACTAGAGGGTGTATGAACAGATATAAAATACTTCAGTCAATGAGAAGTCAGGTTAAATGTTCTATAAAATCCAGCTCTCCTCTAAGATCCCGAGATTTTCTATGACTTATGAAATGAATGTTACATGTAGTTAATCTGATGGGGATTATCAATAAAAAACATGTGGCTGGAAGGAGTTTCACGGAGTAATATTTAGTCAAGCCTTACAGTACCTGTAATATTTGGAAAGAAGAGAAAAGTAGTAAGTACATCCCAAAGCCGGGGACAGTGCCCAGGGAGAAAGGCAGAATTGCTTCGGGCATCCTGCGTGAGCAGGCCTGGCCGCACTGGAGTGTTTTCCTTACGGGGCCATGTTTCAGAAACTTAAACCATTAGGTAGGAGCCAGATAGGAGAGTCCCTTCCATGCCTGGCCAAGTCTTGACTTTACCCTAAAGATAGCAAAGCGGCCTAAATAAATGAACTAACAAATGGGGGGAAGGGTTAGTGTTCTGACTCAAGAGAATTAACTGGTAAGACCTTGATTCAAATTTCAACCCCATCACTTGGTAGCTGTCAGACCTCTCTAAGCCTTAATCTCCTCATCAGTCAAACAGTGCTAATGAGGATAATTATATTTTTCACCTCACAGAGCTGTTGTGAGAATTAAATGAGCTACCATCCGTGAAGCCTGGTACCTCGTAAGTAGTAATAAACGACAGCTATCATTGTTGTTATGAGAGAGGGAGTGGTCATGGTGTGAGAGGGGGAGAAAGACACTTTCCAAGCACACTATAAATATGAAAGCAAGGATTGATTTGGCCCACCGAAGCTTAATCTGTCATAAACATATCTTCTTAATCTCTGTCCTTCTAAACTTCTTTAGAATTTTGGAAGATGCTGGAAAAAATTAGAAACATTCTTGGATTTTTCTTGTTGTGACAGAATAACTAATCAAAATCTGCAAAACGGAGACATTTTTCAGCCTTTAAGGAACCTGCCTGTTAAAAAGTAAGTAAACAAGAAGTACTGTGTCTAACTCCCCAAATGACCTAGGACTTCTAATTACCTCTTTCTGATATTTATTCAGGGCTTCCTGGAATGACTTTGCTTTACCATCTGTTTCTTTCAAAAGTTGTACATTTTTAGAGAGAGTTTCATTCAGAAGGCGATCAGACTGAAAATTAAAAAACATTGTTAAGTTATTCATGCCGGAAGGTAGTATTTCTATTTTTCAGACTTTTCCAAAATTATCAAATATCATATGTGTACACACCTCGGATTTGAAACTAGCTCCTACAATACCTGCTGCCACTTGCATGAGCAGGATCAAAAGCAAGCCTATGAAAAACTGAAAAAGAGAAAGAGAAATATGCATTATCCCCGGTACACTCAGTAACATCTTGGGACATCTGAGCAAGGCGCTTCGTTCCACAGTCTGGGTCATGTTATAATCTGAAGTAGTGATCATGCTCTGTATTTACACTACCCTTTGCCTCAAGAAGCAAATTTTGGGACCATTAACTACTCAGAAATATTTGCTACAAAGTCTGACCATAGAAAAGTGGTTAAAAAGAAAATTTATTCATAGAATTGTAGGCATCAGTATGATGTTGAATGGGGAAAAGTTTAAAAACTTAGATGACATTATCTGAATATTCTCTTTCTCCTCTTTTTTCCTCAAACACAAACTTCAAAGCAAACCTCAGAACTGACTGCAAAACATGTCTACCACTATCAGCATCACCCGGGTCTTGTTATAAATGTAGATGCCCGAAACCTGCCTCAGATCTATTGAATCGGAATTTTGGAGAACGCAGCCCCCAAACTAATTGATTTTTAAAGCAAGCTCTTCAAGTAATTAAGTCCTCAATTGCAAATGAGGCCTTATTAATCTGAAAGCAACCACTAGGGATGCTAATAGAATTCTGTTAAAACTCTGTCCTTCCCTTCCCTCATTATAAATAAACACTTAATAAATACTTTTTTAGGGACTAACACAATACTTATTATATGAGAGAAACAAGTTTAGGTGAACTCTGATGAAGTCTTATGTCAGATTTATAGCTAATAAATGCTTGATGATTTTCCTAATGTTTTTTCTATATCCATTTATTATTTTCTACTATATATTTTAAAAGTCTGTGGGTTATCCCAACACAAACCACCCTCCTTGAAGTTTTCTAAGTGACAGATATGATTCTCTCACTCCCTTACAATTTTCTTAGCATCAAATATGATTTGGCCATAGTCCATACTCAGACCTATCTCCCATCATTTACCAAACATAGCCTCTGCCACTCTAGCCATACCCAAGGCCCTACAGTTCCCCAGACAGGTCAGCCACACCCAAGGCCTTATTGTTCCTCAAAGAGTCCAGGTTTTTCCCCTGGAAAGCCCATCACAGCCTCACCCGTACAAATAAATACCTTATTCACTTCTGCTTCTGGCTCCTATATTCTTGCCCCTTGCTTCTTAGGCCACTCCCACTGTAGCTAATCATTTATTTGTCCGTCTTCCCTAATGGGTTCTAATTGTCTTCATGCCTCTGCAGCATTTAGCACAGTATCTGGCATGTAGCAGGTACTCAGTAATAACGAATGAATGGAGGCGGAAATTCGTCTTCTCTCGAGGTACCCTCTAATCTAAGCTAAACACATTAGCTTCCACAATCAAACCTTCTAGAGGGAAGTTAGAGTTTCATCAGTCTTGGCAAGTCATTTTGGCAGATGACGGGGACAGCTGGGGAACTCACCAACAGAAGCATGCAGCGGCTTTCTTTTATGGCACCACAGCACCCCAGGAAGCCCATGAGCATGATAGCAGCACCCACAGCAATCAAGATATTCACACCAGTGAAAGGATTCATGTCAGAGTCCTCATTGCTGAGAAGCTGGAAAGGAAAAAGAGAAATCAGAAAATCCCTTTCCTTGGTGTTTTTTGTTCAACAAAAATCCACTGGGTACCTACTATGTGCCGGGCCCTGTTCTAGGACCTTGAGATACTTCCATGATCTAAGCCAGCAAAAATATCTGCCCTCAAGGAGCTTCCATTCTATTAAGGTGTTATTTGTCTGGATAATGTTTCCAACTTTAAACTTTTCTAAGAGGATATATTGGATATAGGATGGAAGCAACGTAATACGCTTTAGATACACCAATTATTTTAAATTTAGGACATGTTCTTGCACCTATGATGTGCTCTTTGCATATTTTGTGTTTTATGCATAAAAGTAGCATTGTCATGCATGTGTTTCTATGACAATTAAATTAATTATAAAGCCCAAGTTCCTGAAACCACTGATAGACCCAACAATATGAATGAACCTCAAAAACATGTTGAGCTAAATAAGCCATATTCAAAAGAGTGATTACTGTCTGATTCCATTTAGATGACCATCAAGAATGGGTAAACCTAAGCTGTGGTGATAGAGATCAGAGCAGGGCATGACTTTGAGCTGGCTAGGAGGAAAGGAGGAACTGTGCAAAGGGATGAAGGAGCTTTTATGGGTCAATAAAATGCTTTATGTATTGATTATAATAGTAATTTCACAGGTCTATACATTTGCCAAAACAAACAAAAAATTCAAAATAAGAAAAAAAATCTAGCACCGGATATTCCATACCAATTCTATCTCCTTGTTCCCAGAAGATACATAGCCCATGGAGTCTTCCAGCGACTCATTTTGCCTGACTGTTAAGCAACAGGATATTGAGGGGGGGGAAACTTAGGGCCCTATGCAGTGGGGACTGTCCAAACTGCGTAATTCGATTCTTCTTCCCCTCACACATATTCTTCATCACCTTCCTAACACCTAGCCTCAATCTACCACTTGTCCTCCAAATATATCCAAAGGTGTATCATGATTAAACAGTGAAACCCTGCGCCTGTGTTATGCTTGAGGGCCACATGCAGCCCGTCTTTCTTGTATAACCTCTATCTACCGGTTTGTTTCGGGTAGAGCATTAGTTCTTAGACTAAATCAGAAACTCTTCCTCCTAGAATCTTCTACACATCATGTGCGTCAGCTCCCTTAAGAAGAAATACAAAAGACACTACAGACATGTAAATGACTTTTTCAACCAATTCATAGCCTAGAGGGAACCTTTATTCGACAAACAGTAAGTAGGAAGGAATGTGCTGAAGTGGTCAAAGCCTTAGAACAAAGATCTGTATTCTACTGGGTCCTAATATGTAACTAAGTTTCTTTCTAACACTGGACGAGTCAAACTAACTGTGCTGGGGACGGTTTCCCATTTATAAAGAGAAGTGGGTCAGCCTCTCTGATATCTAGGGCCTCCTTTGTCTCTAAGAGTCTGCACTTACAGATAATGTTTCAATTGACATATTTAGAAACCTTTCCATTTACATATGCCCTAAAGATTTTTTGTTTGTTTTCATGTTTTGTGTTTGAGTGTGGTGTGTTTGCTCGTTAAGATTGGAGCTAAAAAATCCATTTTGTTAATAAATAGGCATGGCATCTGGGTCAAAATAGAAAATGACAAAAACAAAAACAAAAAAAACCCACAGCATTAGGAAACACGCTCTACCCACTCACCATCAACTACTGCTTCACTAGAATGCTGTGACCAGTGCAGGCAAACCCTAAGGCATCTGAGAGGGCTGAAGCCTCACTGAGTTATCTGAACTTTGCTTAGATACCCAGACAGGGAAACATCTGCAAGTGAGACCTGGATAATGTGGCCAGCACTTATTAAGCAGATTGATGAAGCTCTTCTGTCTGATCTGGGCAGGTGACCCACAGCCAAAGACTGGTCAGAAAGCACGGTGTTGGTTTTCTGAGGGTCTCTGTTCTAAGTTCAGACCAACAAGTGACTTTTCTTACTCATAAAAGAAGTGGAAATTGAGTTCAAGTGTTTGCTCCAGGAGAAGGATAGCAGAGTATCTAAAGCTGTCTCGGATGAACAGTGTCTGAGTGTGTCTTAGGCCTAGGGGAGAACTTGTAAAGAAAGAGGAATGGCTGAACTGGAAGAAGGCAGCTCAGGGTCCTCTTGGATTCTAAGAGATCTCCTGGGACATGAATGGCTGCCCATATGTTTTGCCCCACGATGCTGAGTTTACCCTGAAGGAGAACCAAACATCCTTAGGAGACACTTTAGCACAAAGAGATGTGCTAGAAGATGTTCACCTAGGCCTCCCTGACACCCTTCTTTTCTGTGTTTATGCTCAGGTTTCTCCTTCTAAAGTTGCAACCACTGTTTTCCACTAGTAAAATTCAGTTCCTTGTATAGTCTGGATTCTTTGTCACTGACTTTGGATAAATATAAATCAAGCTAAAATTTCACATAAGTCAAGCTGGTTAATGTTGTCCTGGCAGGTACCGACTTTTGTTCAGGGTTAGAGGCTGAAAGAGCCTAAGAGGCAAAATGGAACTAAAGATGCTGTCTAGTTCTGTTAACTTATTCTTATCCCCAGATGTGGAGTAACACCCTCTCCAGGACAACAGCTCCCCTTTGATACATTCAATCTGTGTAATTTCTTGATAGACTAAACACCAAATTTGTTTACCAGAAGCACTGGGGGAAAAGAAAATGTTCCCATATCAACCAGAAATAATAAATAATAAAATACAGGCTGTACACACATCTTTAAAAGGCCAAAGTATCCTCTAAATAAATGGCTATTAATCTCTGTGTTAACTTGAGTCCCATAGTCAGACATCAGTTTCTAGACAACAGAGATTCTGTACGTCTTCAGGTACCACTAACGGGCTCAAAGCTCAAAGCCCAAGGCCATTAGGAAGTGACAGTTACATTTATCAACCTAATACAATAAATGAAATCCTGATAGACTAGGATGTTACCAACTAGTTGCCACACCTGTCCCTCACTCAGTTTCTTCAACACAGTGAGACACAGAATGAGGAAGCAGTTAATTTCTACTGTGATTCTCTGGGTTCTCTAATGGTAGCCAGCATAATTTTAAAAGAAAAGAAAAATAAGTAAAAGAG